CTTTCTCTAATTGGCGATATGTGTACGAGGACTGCCGTAACAGGAACCTTTGCGCGGGGGAACTTGTAACTCCGCTGCGTTTAGCGACAGGATTGGCGGAAGCGCAAGGGGCGATGCGCCTTCACCTTGGCCTTGACGGCAGGCGAAGGAGGCAACGTGTCGTTTACTTGCCCGGTATGTCAATTCCTGTTATTTTGGGGCAGGACTTCGTCTGTCGTGAGGGCATAATCCTAGACTTGAGGAACAACGGGTATCGTTATAGTGCGTTTTCTCCTCTTATTCCCTTTGTTGCCCCATCATCTCTGGTGCAGGGGATGGAATGTTCACTCGCTGCGTCACACCAGGAGCAGGTATTAGCTGCGCGAGTCGTGCCCGGGAACGTCGAAATGATAATTGCGTCTTTGGATGGGCCCGCCGACCAACGGCGGATGCTAGCGAACGCCTTGTCCCAACACGCAGCTATGTTTACCGAGAGACCGGGCCTTACGACTGTTTTACAACATAGGAGAGATACAGGAGAGGCCAGGCCGTGGGGGTGTAATCCTAGACCACTAAGCGTACATAAACGGGCCCTCCTAGACGCGGCTCTCGAGGAGATGCTGGACGCAGGGGCGGTGCGGCTATCGCAGAGTCCCTGGGCGTTTCCAGTAGTTTTGGAGCCAAAGAAAGACGGCACCGCGCGCCTTTCCGTTGATTACCGAAGACTTAATGAGGTCACTAGAAGGGACGCGTAACCTTTTCCCTCTATTGAGTCTATAATATATTCGCTTGGAGGCGCGAGGGTTTTCACCACGCTGGATTGTAGCAGGGGCTTTCTCCAGATCCAGGTGGCGCCAGACGATGTCCAAAAGACGGCGTTCACCTGTTACAGGGGGTTATTTGAGTTTACGCGTCTTCCGTTTGGGTTGTCGAACTCGCCGTCGAGTTTCCAACGGCTCATGGACATCGTGCTGGGCGACACGAAATTTAACTTCGACATGGCCTACATGGATGACGTTGTGGTATTCTCCAGGTCGTTCAAACAGCACCTAACTCATCTCGAGATCGCCTTAAGGCGAATGAGTGAGGCCAGTCTAACAATTAATCCAAAAAAAGGGGCAACTGGCCGCCTCAAGGGTAAATCTTTTAGGCTTTGTCGTAGACAATGGTACCTTGAAGCCGAACGATGAGAAATTTAGGGCCATTCTCGATTATCCACCACCGCATGATGTAAAGAGCCTTCAAAGGTTTCTGGGGATGGTTGGCTTTTACCGGCAGTTCATCCCGATGTGCGCGGAGCTAGCGCGGCCTTTGAATCTGTTGCTCCGGAAAGGCTCAAGGTGGGTCTGGGGTTCAGAGCATGGTGCTGCCTTCTCTTCTCTCGCGAGGGCAATAGCAAGCACCGCTAGCCTTCGGTTACCAGATCTTAATCGGCATTTTGTTGTGCAGACAGATGCGAGCGGCTACGGTGTCGGAGCAGTATTGCTACAGGAGCACGATGGAGAGTTACGCCCTGTGGCATTCGCTAGTCGAACGCTCACACCGTCGGAACGCAACTGCAGCGTGACGGAAAAGGAGGGGTTGGCCGTCATGTTTGCTCTGAGGAAGTTCGACCTCTATTTAGATGGTACGACTTTCGTTATTCAGACTGATCACGCAGCACTTACCTGGATTCAGAGGCTAAAAGAGCCCGCGGGGAGACTGGCCCGCTGGGTACTAACCTTGCAGCACTACTCGTACACAGTTGAGTACCGAAAGGGATCGACCAACAAGGTAGCGGACGCGCTCTCTCGGGCGCCCCAGGATGGTGGTTGGGAGGAGGTGACGCCACCAGAGTGTAACGAGAAGCGCGGGAAGAAGAGGAGAATGCCTCCGGATGCAGGGGTGAGGTCCCTCACGGACGGTTGGGAGGAGGCAAAGCAACCGGCTCTCGTAGCAGCCTTAGCGCGCGGCACGAAAGAGCAAAGGATCGTCGCTTGGGGTGAAGTGGTCAGCAAGGAAGAGCTTGTCGAGGCCCAGAAAGCAGATGGTTTTTGCCAGCGGGTGATGGGTAAACTGGCTGAAATTGCGATTGACACCGGGAAGGCTGGCGGTCGAGTTAATGATCAATTTGATTCATATCTGCTGGGCGAAGACGGCTTATTGCTTCGCTACATCCCAACGATCGATGAAGGGGAGGGTAATGAGCCTCCCTTCAGGGTGGTGATTCAATTTCCCAGGAAGCTACGGAAGAGGTTTATCGGGTACTTTCACGACTCGGCTGTGGCAGGTCATGGCAGTGGCAGCAAGACTTTTCATAAGTTATTCCGCGCCGCGACCTGGCCGGGGATGAGGCAAGACACACTCCGATACGCCCGCAGCTGTCCAGCCTGCCAGAAAGCGAAGCCCACAGGGGGCAAGCCTCCGGGCTTGATGCAGTCGGTGGAGAGTGACTACCCGTGGGAGATCGTCGTTTGCGACATCATCGGCCCACTGCCGAGAAGTCCGCGGGGAAACCAGTACCTCTTGGTTATTACCGATCATTTCTCAAAGTGGGCAGAGCTGTACCCACTGAGGAAGCTGGTTTCAGAGCGGATCTGGGAAAAGTTACTGGATACTTTCCTACGCTTCGGCACACCGAGGTGTCTCATTAGTGATAACGCTAGTTATTTTACTAGTAAAGTGTTCCGGGACTCCTGCTTGGCGCTGAACATAAAGCACAACAGGACAACACCGTACCATCCCCAAGCCAATATCACTGGGCGTGTGAATCAGAATATCAAAAGCATGCAGATTGCGCTAACGGAGAGACACCGAGACTGGGATGAGCACATCGCTGAGAAGGGTTTTGCCATCCGGAATACCGTGAACAGATAGACTGGTTTCACGCCAGCGTTTCTGAACCTGGGTAAAGAGATCCCGTCTCCGCTGGAGGACGAGTTACGGAGCAACCAAGGAACACCAGGACGCCCGCTCGCTAGGTACGCGGAACAGCTAACGAACCGCTTGTCTGGGGCGCTGCACGATGCTAGAGAGAATCTTGATGCCGCAAGGATCGAGCAAGCGGCGCAGTATGACAGGAGTCATAGGCACTTGGAATTCAAGGTTGGTGACTTGGCCCTGAGAAGAACCCACCCTCTGAGTAACGCAGCTAGCGGTTTTGCCGCGTCGCTTGCCCATAGATGGGAAGGGCCCTATGAGGTAAAGACGCGAATGTCACGGCTTACTTATAAACTCACTTGGTGTGATACAAATGAGGAGTCGGGTCCAGTTCACATCGCGGACTTGAAGGGGTATTACCGTCGCGATGGGGAACATAGTCAATGAAAACTACCGCCGCCGACACATTCGGCCTCAGAAAGTGAGGATTTTCTGGTGTCTGACAGTGTTCTTTCTACACAGGATGCCTCCTTGGAGAAACCGCCCCAGGGGTCCATACCCAGGAGGCCAACCGGACGGGCCAGGCCCCGGGGCGGCTGGACCCCAGTGGTCCGGTCGACCAAACCCTCGGGGCGGCCGCCCAGGGAGGCGTCAACACCGGGGATGGCCGAACGGCGGAGCGGGCCAGCGCCGCCCGGGCTCCGCAGGTACCGCGAGCCCGACAGCCGGCAGGCCTGCGCGGTACGGGGCAGGGCCGTCCGTAGCAACATCGCGGCACCAGGCAGGGCCGTCCGCGACGGAGCCCCCGCACCACGGAGCGGGTCCGTCTACGACCGGGGGACCTGCCTGGAGTCGGCCCCCCTGCCACATCGTGGCCACGTGGACGGAGTGGGAGGAAGGAGGGGCGGTCCATTTCGTCTCCCGCCGGCGTTGGAAGCATCAACCCAGACCAACGCCTGGCCAGCCCGATCACGAAGTCCCACTCCCGTTCCGTGGCAACACGCAGCCGGTGGCGCCACGGGTCTTTTGAGCGCCTGGCACCTGCTGGCTGTGCGGGGTCCCGATAATACATCTGGAAACCCACGAAGCAGGTCGACTCCATTCTGACCTGCTGGAGGCACAGCCCCTCCCGGACAACCTGGCGGCAGAGGTCCAGACCCTGAGGGCAAGCCGCCCGGACCTCCTGGCTCCCGCTGCCTTGCCCTCCGTCCAGCCTGCCCGGCCTCCCGAAAACCGTGCCGCCGCACCGGCTCCCGCTGCCGCCGCCATCGAACCCGCCACCACGATGGCCCCCACAACACCGGCCGCCACCACATCCTGCGGGCCAGGCCATCGGGCCAGTGTCGTCCACCAGCCCCCTCCGTCCCCCTCGACTTCCGACGACGCCATCATGGCCGAGGTGGAACAACTCCTCGGCCAAAACCAGTGAGCACCCAGGCCCCCCCCGAAGACCGGGCCTTGAGGGGGGGGGGGGGGGGGGAGTGTGGAAAGCCGAGGAGGACGACGGCGCGCGAGGGGGCAGAAGCGGTGGCCGGCGGCCCGGTGCGCGTGAGAGAGTGCACGAGGATTCCGCCAGGCACGGTCAGGACAACGACAGCGACTGCCAGGCCCAGGACCAAGACGCCGAACAGTAAAACGATTTGAATCAATCCTTGCTCGTTTGACCTCTTGGGAGGGCGGACCAGGCAGGGACCGATTGGGCAGCAGTATAGTAGAGCGACCCACACATGTAAGCCTAAATTTCTCGGAATCGAGCGGAGGTGCCCTTTAACAGGCGTGTAGTAGTTACTTGCTGGGGGATTTAGTCTCGCCAAGACTTTGGCCACCTCCGCTGGCAGTAAAATTAAGAGTTTGTGAGGCAAGCTCGACTCTACAAAACCCATTTTAGTGCAAACGTGTTAAGAATTTACCAAACAGAGGCCTATGTCTACTCTGACACGAAAGGGCTGCAAAACGCTTCTAATGACTACCTTGATCCAACTGTTATCATCCATAACAATGATCTCTAAAGAATTCAATTTACATTGAAACGTTTCTAGCTAATTTTTTTTTTCTCGAGCGTGGCAGGGTTCTTTTCAAGCAGCGCGGCGTTTTCTTTTTCTGTTCGTCTTCTCTGCACTTCATTTTAGCACTCAGAAATTTCGTCCGCTAATGCAACGCACGTTTCGATGAAGATGATTATCTTGGGCTTGCTCATGTCCTTGGCCACTTTAATACGGAGCTCTTCCGCCAAGAGCATTAAATCGGTTTTCACAATCGCCGCGAGATTCATGGTGCCAATATTCCGAAACTTGCAAAAAAGATTGCCTCTTTTTCCAGTGCTTATGGTACCCAATTAGCAACACTCAAGAAATGTCTTAACCCTTAACGGTGGTCGGTGAAATGAAAGGAAGCTCCAGGCACTCATCAAAATCACCGCGGAACCTCGAATCTATGAGCTTGCCCTTATTCTCCCTTTCAATAAAAAGAAGGCTTTGTGGTAAATGTGAAATGTATTGTAGGCTTGATTTATGAAAAAAAATGTCTACAACATTTCAAACATTGGTGGAATAAAAAGAATGATGTGCGAAAAAAAATAATTTAAAGTGTATGATAATTCCAAGAGTTCCACGTCCACACGATAGATGGTATTTGTGCGCTCCCTCGTCATATAACATTGTTAGAAAATTTAAGGCAGAGAAGTCAGCCTTCTAATCTTAGGACCTAGAAATTGTCTTCTGAAAGGGATACCGACAGGGTATTTATGCCCGTCGAGGTTTTTATTTCAACATGACTAGTGAGAGCCTAACTAGCCAGAACACAATTTGCTTCACCAAATTCCTTTTCTTTCGACCCGAAAAAGGCCGGTCGAGTATCAGCCTGTTCCAGGGGCGCTCCCTCACTTTTCTGTGGTCACGTTCCGTTCAAACTATAGCGTACCAAATATATTCAAAGTCGCAGGTAATCTGAGACAATTAGCTAATAAAACTAGACAAGGATAAACGTAGTTTTTAGAGCACAGCTCTTAGGCGCCCGTTTCCGGCTTAAGCGGCGTCGCCGTCGCCGTTGGCGTCGCAATTATGGAAAATGTCCCATAATGCACCGTGTGGGGAGGAGGAGGAGGAAAAACGAGGGGGAGGGGAAGGGGAGGAGGAGGGGAGGGAGAGCAGAAGGGTGGAGGAGGGGGAAGAGGGGAGGAAAAAGGGAGGAAATGGAGGAGGGATTAGGGGAGAAGGAGATGAGGAGGAGGAAGGGTATACCCTCCCCTCAGTACCCTTTCCTCCTCCTCCTCGAGAGCTGCGCTCTAATTCGGCGTTACACGTGTTGTAAACGTCCTTTTTGGGTCTGCCAAGATGCTGCAAAAACTTCGATTTGAAAAGGCTGAACAGATCAAAGGAAGTACATGTATTACGTCATTCTCAATATGGCGACGTACCGCTGGCTGAGCAAAGCAATGACGGCACGTGACGGACCAACATTGCGACGGACTTGGGACCACTACTTCGGACCTGTCATTCGTGGCACCGGCCAACCGATCTTCATCACAGAACAGCGAGAGGAAAGGATATAAGTGCCAAAAAATCGCAAGACGCAACGTCGCTGTCTTCATCGTCATTGTCGTCCGCGTCACGCGCCGGAGACGCGGAGGGACAGAAAAAAACTGGGTCGGGAGCTTTAGCCACGTAACTTCCGGCAACCCTCTACACCTTCACAGCTTAACGATCCCGCCTCCTTTTCGGTACGCAAGTCGGCCATGAATCTGAGTGCTCATGTGTCGGTTTCGGTTCCCGAGCATTTAATTTTTTTGTTTGCTTGATTCAAAATGCATGTGACTCTGCAGCAAAATATTGATTGGGTAGCTGCCTGATACCATATCACATAGACTGGCAATTAAATTCTAAAAATTTTGGGGGTGTCAGTGTTTCTCTTGCTCGCATCTGGTTTACTAAATTCTTTCCGCCTCTTCTTACTCTTGCCCTTCCCCCTATCGGTCTTCCGAAGAGACCACCGGCTTCAAATAAGCACACAATATGTTGAAAGTTGAAGACAGCGTTGTTTTGATCGTCTCTGCGCTAAAACTTTAATAAAACTTTAACGTTACAGACTGCAAATACGCAAAGAGCAAAGCTAGGGAGTCAAGATGCGGTAAATTGAAACCTGAAACATACAGGGCGTGTCTGTTTAAGTTTAACAGATTTCTTTAAAAAAATACAGTGCAAGGTACGCTACAGTTTGTTGTAACTCAAGAACAGCAGAAGAAGGGGTCCTCCCCCCTTTCCACATTATAAGACAAAATGCTGGAAAGAAGGAGAGCGGACTCCAGCTTTTGCTGTGGTAACGTTGAGAGGGAAGGGCTCTTTTTCCTGCTCTTCTTGAGTTGCAACGTACTATGATGTGGTTTCTACAGGTGACTTATAACGCAAGAGAACCTAATACAGACGGATAATCGTTACGATAAGTCGAATAATTAACTAAACAGTGTTCATTAACTTCTAAATTAGTGAAAATAGACATATTGCTTCCATTATACACTTTCTGAACACCATCGAAAACCACTAATTCAGTAATTATTAGTAAGACGTTTAGCGAGCGGGAAGAGAAGTAGTGCGCCAAATGTAACACCGGTGCAACAGGCAGAAAGCTGGGGCTAGAGCCAAGAAATAAGCTACGCTTCAGAGTAACAACGCTTCAGTTACCTTGATGCTTAAAATCCAGGCGGCCAATTATCTGAAGCTTTATTTGAAATCGCAGGAAACACATTTTCCTCCTCCAGAGATGCTAAATCAGTTCGCGAAAGAGTAAGACAGTTTCACCTGAGCTTCCTAACATCGTACCTCAAGCTGATAAAGTCGCATTGTGGAAATGTGACGATCAACGGTTTCGTCTGCTCTGTGCTGAGCAGCAAGATGGCGGCACCAATTAGAAGATCGTAGAACGGAGTGCCGATACCTCAAGCCTCATTTAGTGGCTCTAGCTTGTGCTCTAAGAGATGGAAAAATCTTGCGGTCACGTTATCGTACCTTGCTTTCCTCCTGCTGCAAGAGGGCTCCGCCATACTAGAACAAAAACAGCCAGGTGATGCCCTAAGCCCTTTACCTTGCTTCCCACGTGCTCGCAGTATCTTGAATATCGGCTGATTTAGTTGTTTTTCGTGACGCTCAGCATCCTTTTAATTAGAACCATGTGTTTGTTTTTATTGTTAAAACGGTAATTAATACATTCTAGTTTTATTACGGTAATTAATACATTCTCCCTCGCTGTATGACTCACCTGCACAAACCACATAAATGTATGTTTCACGGCTTTTTCTTTAAGAAAATATGTAAGCTTAAAGCGGAACACTCAGTATATTCATGAATTGTGGGGCACTATCGTCGTCCAAACTCTTTAGTAATCAATAATCAGACCAAAATTGTTGTGAACTAAGGCAACGGGCAGAACATTGAAAAGTGTACCGCTTCGAAAAGAAGCACAACGAACCCTCAAAAGCACTATGTCGTCGGGAAGATGCCCAGCTATAGCCATGATTCCCTTATACTCTCTTTTTTTTAAATTGCTATATTCAATGCGTTGGCGTATTTCTATAATATCTCTCAATATGTGCACTACATTACCTACCTCAGAAGATTGACGTGCAAATAATAACTGTCCGATTATACATTCTATGTTGCTTAAGCGCAAAACCCTCCTAATAAAGTGCCTTGTGATCTGTCATCAATTCCGGGCGTCTTCTTGCCTAGTTAGAAAATAAATTGTTATTTAACAAGGACTGAAATTGTTGAGTAGTACCAAATCGTGTCGTATTATAATATTTAAGGAATCACGGGCTTTCGCGCTGCTTCACCGAAGCTTACGTGCGCCGACAGATGTTTAGGGCCTTTTGAAAGCGCTTTGCTATGAGAAGAGCAAGCCGTCTACTTGTTGCGCAGAGATTGGGGTGACAACACTACCACGCCGAGCTCTGATTGGCTTTGATTGAAAGGATAGCGGGTAGACATTAATGATAAATGCTTTGAATTATACCCATTGCTTTGTTATTCAGCCAATAAGAGCTCGGCGTTCTGACATCATCGCAACCCCTGTGCAAGACGCAGAGAAACTTGCGCTCTGCATAGTCCTAGACAGGATAACGAAATATGCGCGTCGCTTTCAAAGGCTCAGTTTCCAGCCAATACTACTTAGAAGAGTACGCGTGCGTATGACGTCATCGTTAGTAAATCCCCAACCCACTTCAAGCGGGAAAAAACGCTGATCTTGATGAGAGTACGCAGCAGAGTGGCACACACGTTTGTCAGGCGTCGCCATGTCATAGCGCCGCGCTGGTCGTTTGACTCTGCGAGGCGTGCTGGTGGCAACACTGACACTATCTAGGCGAGGACTCGTAGATTCAATGGTGATTGCGTCTGAGAAAACTGTAAGTAGGCTTTGTGTTCTACAGGACCTTTTCACGCGCGTCAACATAGGGACGCCGTGACTGACATGCAGTTGTCTTCCCGGAATGCTCAGCCACTGGAATCGATAATCACGAACTTACACAAACACTACGCTCGGGACAGGAAGCCTACGGTGTCCAAAAAGGTCAATACGCTGTCGCAGTACAACAATAATGAAATGAAGCGAACCAAGTGGAAGTAAACAAAAGGCGAAGGTCAGTTAGGGCCGCGCTCATGCTTAGCAGCTGAAAAGCATTCATACACCAAAGTGGGGCTCTTATGCCACACAGCTGCGGTAGGCCTGCTGTCGTCACAGCACATGCGTAGGAACTGCCCTTCACGGTGATCTGGTATGTCCGCACCAACAGTGCCACACATTGTGAGCACAAACCCGGAGTTGTTTTTAAACAGTGTGCCGGCCTATAGAGTTTTTCAGTGTGTGCTCTCCGTGAGGCACCACTTTGTTCGAATATATTGCGCCATCACCATACATGTGGGCATTTCAACGGGATCGGAGGGATAAAAAATGGAAAGTGTACGCCCCCGGTAACAAGAGCAGACGACAGACCGGCCGTTCTCAACTTTTGGGCTGTACCTTTGTCAGCTGTAACAAGCATCTTGAGGGAACATGCACCAGGGGAAATAATTTTTGTTTATAGCTTCCAATATCGAAATTATTTTTTTTACACTTTATGATGCCTAATCTTTTTCTTATAACTCTGGTGTTAGATATTATATTGCTTGTTTTTTTTTTAGGTTCTGAATGCAATGATCACGCAGAAAAATACTGGTTTTGTGCACACGTGAGGCATGCCAACAGAATTAAAAGCGTAGTAAAATAGACTAAATCGCTCATATT